TTTAAAACTCAGATTAGTTAGCTTTCTGAGGTAGAGATTTACCTTTTGAATATTGTGGTTTGATACACTTCTGTTCCACAGTTCATTTCTACATGAAGTTTTTCAAAGATTGTTCTGAGGAGCTCTTGCAGGTTAATAGTTCTCTTCCCCCCCCCCCCCTTGCTCACACTCTCTCTTTCTCTTTATGATTTCCATTGGGCTTTCAGCTCACCTATTAACTTGCCCACAAGCTAGGCCATGTACTTCATGTTAGGCTACCATCTTCACACAGAGAATTAATTATAGTTAAATAAACATTTTGGTGTTAAGAGTAAAATAAGCTGCTGTTTTAACCACAGGCCAGCTTTATCCAAGTAGCGGTGCAGATGTAGGAAGGGATAGAAAACAGTTCTTAACTGGTTACAATATTCGATGCCAATATGCAGTCCCCTGCAAAAGCCAGACATTCAGTTGCTTAGTTCCTCTCTTTCCCATGGCCTGGTTCAAATATCTCCTGGATTAGAAAACCGCAGAACAGCTCCTTTTCCTTCTCAGGAACACTTCTCCATGCCAGCAAGTCTCTGTTTGTTATTTGCCGGGTTTCCTTCATTTTTCCAACACTCTTAACAAGCTACAGCTGCTAGTTCTTCTCTTCAGGTCTGGCAACTTAGGCATACTTGAAGAATGACTTCCTCTTTTCATCCAGGAAAGGAATTTAGCTCCTTCATGGTTTCTGAAGGAACAAGCATTATATATATTGTCATACAATTCCACTATGAGATTGCATTGTTAGCATACTTTTCTGCACATAAGGGGATGCATAAACACGTTGACATTTCTCCTTAAATAAGAATAATTAAATGGCCATATTTGTGCTGTATCAAATATTGGACATTTTATTGCATGTGGAACCAAAAGGTAGCCTTTAGTTCTGTGTCAATGAATTATTCCTCCTCCCCCCCCCAAAAAAATTGTTTTCAAATTGTGTTACTGAAATCCAGGTTCTCATTTATCTCCTTTTGTCTGTAACCTTTAAAAATTTATATAATGTTTGAAACATTTAAATTGCATATCTTTCTTGTCCAGTGATTGAATGTTAAGTGACTGAACCTACTGACCACTAAGTCTGCCTATATTGTTTATTGTTTATTGTAGATTATTTACAGCAGAGAAAATAAGTACACTTTGACTCATTGTTAAATACCATCTTGTTCTATCTAAGTCTTGCTCAGATATTATGCCTGACAGTTTAAAGGGATAAATGGGTGGAGGTAATCCAGTATGGATGTAAAGCAGACCTTTGCTCGTTCACTGTGAAGATTGACAGAGCCATGTGTAAGCACATTCAACTAGATGCACCTAAAGCACGTCTGCAAACCCTCATACTGAACGTGTGAAAGTCTGATTTAGTTCCAGGTGGGAAGCAGGTCTCCTGCATGACTCCATCACCTTCCCCCTCCCCCAAGATATCATTCTCCACATTTCAGCTGTAACACCTGATTAGGATTGATCTTGATGGAAATGTAGCTTTCACAGTAAGTTTTCTGTTTGGCCATAGAATAAATCTGTCTGAACCCTAATCAAACAAACTTTTCCCTACCTTTTTGGTTTGACTTGGCAATCTATCTGATATTCCTGAAGTAGAAAGTGTTTTTATGTAATCCCACTGAAAACACAATCATTTGAACACTTTTCTGTGTAGTAATTAGGTTCTTTACTATATATATTAATATCTGGCATAAAACACTATACTGTATAACTAAGGATATACTTATAGGATATACTTCTACTTTGTATGTTAAAGGTTTCTCCTTGTTCTTATAATGCTTCTTCTCAGTATATTTACTAAAATACTGCTCTTCACTACACTGAACATGCTTTATTTTATACTAGTGTTTGTTGATTCAAACAACAGGATTTTTAGCTTTAATGCTACAAAGTGTGGATTTGGGAGAAGTTGGAAGATTCTGGGGTTATGTAGTAATAAAGGAGGCTCACACTCAGACTTAAAAAAAATTGAAGGTAGCTACTTTGGCCAAAAGGAAAACACTGTAAGATCCCCTCAGTTGATTTCATGATTTTTTCAAGCATGAATCACAGGGAGAGAAGGATCTTCCCCTTTCCCTCCCCATGATTCAAGCCTTATGTTAATTAAAATATCTGCAGCTAGAGGACAAATGTTAGGCTTATCCTTCCTTTGACTGGTTAGTTAACCTGCCTTCCACCCAAGCTTTGTTGTAAAATATATATATCTTTTTTAAAAGATCTGCTTTGTTCCTGAATGGCTTTGAAAGAGTAAAGATATGTTTAAACTGTGTTATAGAGTCTCAGTCTCACCTGTCTTTCTGCCGCACACAAAAACACTTGCAAACTACACTCTAGGCCCATTATTGGGTTACTGATAGAACTTTAAGTCCCTGGTAGTAACATTTAATATCTAATTATTTATTTCATTTTTATTTTAAAAGCTGCTGTCTCTTTGCTTGGTTCATTAATAAATACTGTATATACTCAAGTATAAGCCTAGTTTTTCAGCACAATACTTATACTGCTTATACTCAAGTCAGTGTCAAAATTACATGTTCTCCTCTGCAGTGCAAGTGTTCTCCGGACTCTCCCAGTCATCTACAGACGCCTGCAGCCTCTGTGGCTGGTCCGATGACCCGGGTTAAGTACACTGCATTTCTGCTTCCAGGACGCTCCCATTCTCCTCCTTCTGCATATTCTATATACCCACCTTCCTCCTCCATCCTCTGTTACACTCCATCTTGTTATGCAACAGTAGAGCAGTAGATAAGTGCAGCATCTGGTATGAGTCGTCCCTTCCCCACAGGCAGTGAAGTGTCTCTCAGCTCAGAAGCACAGTATCTTCAAAAACATTTAACTTACTGATGCCTCAATTAATGTAATTTTATTGGTATCTTATTTTATTTTTGAAATTTACCAGTAGCTGCTATATTTTCCACCTTCAGCTTATACTCGAGTCAATAAGTTTTCCCATTTTTGTGGTTAAATTGGGTGCCTCGGCTTATATTCGGTTCGGCTTATACTCGAGTATATACAGTGTGTGTATTTGTAAAGTAGAGTTTATTCAGTTTTGTCCAGGCTCCAGATAGTGCTCAGTGACACACTGTCCTGCTAGATAGGAGTTTAAAGGAAGTTGTGGAAAAGGGATCTGCTTCTTTTTATGTCTCTATGTCTCTCTTTCCATGCACATACAGTATACCATAAGCCTGGATTCCCATGTGTCCAAGATATGATATATTAAATAAACATTCTTTGGGTAATAACAATCTTATGTAGAATGTAGATGCAGATATGGGAGCATAACACTAATGTCATGACTTTGGAGGCAAATTGTCTAAATTTGAGTGATCACATTATTTATCTCAGTGCACACCAAATAGTGTCCATGGTGATTTTTCAAGTGAAGCAGTTAGCCTCCAAATGTGACACCATTAACATTGTGCCAGGATTTATTTCGTAGTATGAATGCTACAATACCTTCTCAAATTCAGGGTGCACAATGTCACAGTGGACAAGTATAAATATATTACAGTGTATTTGAATCTTCAGTGCTTATGTGTGGAGGATGTATGTCCTTTATCATCATATTACATTCAGTGTTTTCTGAACATATTATCATAAGACAGTTTACTGGAAAAGACAGTTGTTGCTGTTATGTGCTGTCAAGTTGCCTCTGACATGAGGTGACTCTATAAATAAGTGACCTCCAGATTTTTCTGCCTTTAATAGCTTTGCTGAGCCCTTGCAAACTCAAAGCCATAGAGTCCTTGGAAAGTGGAAAATAATGGGAAAAGAGGAATAAATATGAGCTGGATTGAGTCACTAAAGGAATCACGGTCCTTAGTCTGTATTACTCGAACAGGGCTGTTAATGACAGTATGGGGGGGTTATTAATAGGGTTGCTATGAATTAATGACCCCTCCCTTGAAAAACATCAACATTCACTATTAAAGTAGTAGACATCTGCTTGTGCAACAGGAATACTTCTAACCCTGGCTTTCTCTGGTTACTAGAAGCATGGTCCCCTACAATTTCTGGATAAATTTTGCTGGTTATATGGGGCTGTTGGAGAAATTTGATCCATGAGTCAGGTTCCTTTCATGAACAAGAGATCACTGGGTTACAGAGATAATAGAGAAATGTAATGGCTGTAATATTTAACAGCATCTAAAGGTTCTATCTGTAACTCATTTTTTGGTTTATCTCCGTAAAGTTTTAGTAAGTCATGATTTTATGTAAACTATCTGGTTATCTTGGCACTCAGTGGAAAGTAGTTTTCTGCTGCAGTATACTAATTGGGCAATTAAGGAACATATTTTAGTCCTAGCTCAATGTAGTACTTTTTACATCCAAGCTATACTAAAATGTGTTTTTGGAATAGTACACAAGTTAGTACAGAATCAGCTGGGATTTATGAATCTACTGAACATCCAGAAGCAGATTAGTACAACAATTTATGGAGTGGCTTCTGTGTATGGAGAAAGAACTTGACTGTTGCATCTTCTTTGTGTGAATATATTAATATCTTCCTTTTACCCATGATTATATAAGGGCCTTAATTTAAACAAACGGAGACATGTTGTACATATTGAAGAGGAATAGAAGTATTTTATGATACTGCATAGTTATTGAGACTGAAATTAAGAATATTGCTCTGTAGTTAAATTTTTACAATGTAACTTTGAATATACTGTAGTGGTGAATTCTAATGTAGATGAGGTGTCATTTCATTACCAGATACAAGAAAAGTCGTAGTAGTGAGCAACTGTGTGTGTGATAAAGATGTGATTTGTCACTTTTTCTTAGTAATGTCAACACATCATTTCACATTAAAACTTGAGATAGAGGTAAAATTTGCTTAAATACTAAATACAAAACTGAATTGGTTACTTGTGTTGTTTGTGTCCCATCGTTTGGCGATACTAGTGAGCTTCAGATGTTTTTATGGTCATATATGTTCTCTTTCCTTCCTCTATCATTTTCAAATTCCATAGGTAGAAGAGTTAATGATGGCTATGGAGAAAGTCAAGCAAGAGTTGGAATCTATGAAAGCGAAGCTGTCTTCTACTCAACAGTCTCTGGCTGAGAAGGAAACCCACTTGACTAACTTACGGGCTGAGAGGAGAAAGCATTTAGAAGAAGTCCTAGAGATGAAGTATGTCTTTGTTTCTTTTAGTATTTCTTTTAGGTTTCAACTGAAGCAAATAACCTTTAATTTCACAGGTACTACTTCTTCTCATTGACTTTAACAACTACTTCAGGGTAAGTATTTTGTGTCTACGTAGACGTGGCAACAGAAAATCTCATTGGTATTCGATTTCCTTTCTTCCTACCAAGTATACAGATTTTCTTATACTGTAAATGGGTGGTACTATGTGTACGAGTCACATGTACTCAGATTTTATGTGAGATCTTTGTCTTAAATTACTGAATCCATACACTGATAAGATGCACACATTTAAGGCACAAACTGATTGCACATAATCCTACTAAAAATTAGGACTGCTGGTAAGGAAGAGGAGAATTCCAGGCTTAGTTCAGTTTTATATTTTAAGTTGTCTAGTAATTCCTGTGTATCTGCAAGCAAGTCCTGTCATTTTGAAGGCAAGTGCTTTGTAGCCTGGAGAGGGAGAGTTATCTGTTTACAGCTGAGTTGGTTAGTTCTGCCAGCAAATTATTAAAGGCACTTTTAGTTGTTTAGCTATCCCTGAGGAGAATGAATACTTTTATTGGCAGGGCTCACCGTGATTTTGGTTTTGTGAGCCATTATTTACATTCAGCTTTCATGTTGACATTTTTTTTTCTTTGAGAGAGGAAGGAGGGATTAAAAACTAAGATAAAAAGAGCAACTACGTATGAAAGAAAATGTTGGGGTCTTTGAGATGGAGCATATGTTGCTTTATATTCCATCGTTCGTACTGAGCAATCTGATAGCTGGTGCGGGGCACCAAGACTCTGCTTTTCTTTTAAAAACAAAACTGAACTTTTTAGTATTAAAGATATTGAGCTATAAATTTGCCTGTCATGAAATCTGGTTTGTATGAGGAGGTGGGGAATAATTCTCAATGCAGGAATCCAGAGCAACATAAAATATGTCTTACAATAAGTCTTCCAACAATATATTTGCCTACCAAATGGCTCTGCCAATCTTGATTGTAGAAAATTGACAGAATGAAAAGCTTAATGAGCAAGAGTAGAATTAGCATGTTGAAGAGTTTTGCTTCTGATCCATAGAATACATGTCCCAGTTTGAAAATAATATTTTATAATAATAATTTTTATATTTGAAATATTTAAAAGTAATTTTTAAATAACTTTGAAAACCTAGTTTTTCTTTTCTTTATTTTACTTTGTGTTTGCTTAATTTGCGAAGAGATTGTTATGGTATTGTTTCTCCTTTTAAGATTTTGAAGGCAGCTTGTTCCTATATTTCTGCTACAAATGGATACCTCGTCACTGGAATTCTTTCCAGTCCTATTGACAGTAGATAATATAAAGTGGTAGGCATTCTGATGCATTAAAAAATAATTCTATGCAGCAATGACAGACTGATAGATTGTTATTTTGCTTTTGGTTGTTGTACTGTAAACATACAATGATTATATTAAGTATACAACAAGGAAAGGTAATATCTAAATAAAGTGCATGTAAATAAGAAGTACTTTCATCAGCTTGGACCCTTTTTTAGCTACTGTGTTTCCCCGAAAATAAGACAGGGTCTTATATTAATTTTTGCTCCAAAAATACATTGACAGGGGATGCTTTTATTTTTTTTCATGCACAACCATCTACATTTATTCAAATACAGTCATGTCATCTTCTTCTGGTTGTTGCACAATGGTGGAGGGCAGGGTTTCACTTAATTGGGGCTTATTTTTGGTGTAGGGCTTATATTATGAGCATCTTAAGAAATCATACTGGGGCTTATTTTCAGGTTAGGTCTTATTTTTCAGGGAAACAGGGTACAGTATTAGTAAAATGTACACATTGAATCAGATCATCTGTTTTTAAACCCCACTAGTCTAAAAAAGCTTTCTGTTCCAAGTAGTCCTCAAATACTAAGCTCTGAGTACTGTAGCTAACAGTTACGTTACACTTCATGATAAAAATCTCTGTATCTCATTATGTTTTGAACTCACTGGTTCCTGAGAATAGTCTTAGAGAGAGAATGCACTATACTATCTAAATGAGCCATGACAGGCTTGGGAGCAAGACCAACTGCTGAAAACTGCACCAGGTGGTGTTAAAGCGGTTTGTTCCACTCAGTAATTGCTCAGGCAGTTAACGTTGTAGGGAGGAGCTTGAAAGGAGGTTCTTTTTGCCATTTGCTTCCTAAGGATTTAGCTACACTATCATCTTGTTTCCATACTACTTCAGGGGAGATTCTCTTCCTTTCTGCCACTCCGACCCTCTTTCTGTACAGTAGGACAGTTCTGCAAAATCTGATTCTGGTGTTAAGGCAACACTTGAAAAAGCTGGCACATCAATTCCAGTCATACATTGTTGAGAATAAAAACCCTCTTATAATGTTTTAATCTAGTTAAAGTCTATAAATATTTAAAGTGTGATGGAGGACCCTAGTCAGGAAACACTTTAACCAGAACAGATGTCGGCATTCCAGTCAGGTTTACACAACTTCAGGGTCATTTTTCCGCTTATATTATTAGATTATAAAATGCTTATAGAAATGTACTTGAAAAATCCCATCTGTGTGAAAGCATTAATTTTTGCATATGGAGTGCTGAGATACTTCCATCTTGTACTGCTTCTGAATGCGTGAAGAATGTATGCTGGGTGGGTACAAGTTCCCTTTTTGTATGCCAGACTTAGCTGAAAATGTGGTTCGTCTTGAAGAAAGAAATATATGTGCTTGTATGATTTTTAAGCAACTGAGCAGACTACCTCTAGTAGTTAGAACATACTTCTGTTCATCACCACATGCAGAACTCTTGTTTTGCCTCAGAGGAAGGATAAGGTGCAGGTTGGCAGATGGAGGTATGTATCTTACATTCATCTATTGCAGAAAAGACCCTAGGGAGACCTACTTCTGCAGCTTTAGAGGTCACTGACCCAAGGTGAGGAGGAAAGCTAGCAGTTGCTTCACATCTGTATTTATTTATTTATTTATTTGTTTGTTTGTGGATGGATGGATGGATGGATGGATGGATGGATGGATGGATTTAACTTATATGCCACCCACACTACCCAAAGGTCTCTGGGGGCTTACAGCAATTTAACTACAGTAAAAAAGATAAAGAATTAAAATACAATTAAAATATATACTCTAAAAATTGCCATCAGGACCCACAGTTTATATTATTTCAGTTAAAAGTCTTCTGGAACAGGAAGGTTTGACCTGGCACCGAAATGTCATCAATGTCGGCGCCAGACGAATTTCAGTCGGGAGGGTATTCCATAGTACGGGGGCAGCTGCCGAAAAGGTCCTTTGTCTACAAGCCATCCCTCTTACCTCCTTGAGGGACAACTCTTTCAAACGGGCCCCCTGGCTAGATCTTAACTGCCGGGTAGGTTCATATGGAAGGAGGCGGTCCTTCAGGTATCCAGGGCCCAAGCCATTTAGGGCTTTAGATGTCAAAACAAACACTTTGAACTGGTAGCCAATGTAATTTAAACAGAATAGGTTTGATATGTCCCTTAGCAGCCCCACCACTCACTAGCCGTGCAGCTTGATTCTGGACCAGTTGCAGTTCCTGGACCGTCTTCAAAAGCAGCCCCATGTAGAGCACATTGCAGTAATCTATACGAGATGTTACCAGTGCATGTGTAACTGTCATTAGACTCCACTCGTCCAGGTAGGGCCATAGCTGGAATAATTTCCGCAGCTGAAGGAAGGCGGCCCTGGCCACCGAGTCCACCTGGGCTTCCAGAGTTAGACTGGGGTCCAGGAGCACCCCCAGATTGCGGACCCTGTCCCTTAGGGGGAGTGCAACCCCATTCAGGGCAGGGAAATGGCCCTCCTGCCTGTCCAGTGAAGCACCCACTAACAGCACTTCCGTCTGTAAGTAGACTATAGGATCTATCCCTTCCTTCAAAACCTCCCCTATGAGTGGGCAGGCTCGTTGCGGCAACAGCTTCCTCTGTATGGCCAGAGCCAGTTTACCTAGTAGTACTCTCATCTGATGACCCTCAAATTTTAGTCTAAAGATTTTAGACAAAAGTATCATTTTATACACGGAAAAAATACAGTACATAAAGTCTTGATTTCAGTTCTTCATCCTAGCTAATTCTTCTGTCATATTTTTGATGACTAAATGCTCAGCTTTAACCCTGCTTTCCATTTTTCCTTTAACCTTAACCTTCCTCCATCATAATTTCAAGTCTTTGCTGTTGTATGTCACTAATGTGGATCTCTGCATCTCTTAAATTATTGCTGTTTCTTCACTTAGACAAGTCACTTGAATTTGGGAAGGCAGATGTCTTATTTGCATCTTTAGGGAAATAAAATGTCTCAGTCTTCAATTTCTACTGTTTGTGCCTCCAGATGGAGTTCAAGCACACCCACTGAGGGGAACAACTTTGACAGCTGCTATTTAGGGAGTTTCCTCAGTTGATGTAGGGCATCTACCAAAATCTCAGTACATACCTTCCCTAAATATTCTGAAGCAAACAAAAAATTTTTTGTTGCCATTGGATACATTTTGGCTTCAGCAACTTTTGTCTTTGGATCTTCAGAAAGTTGTAGCCCCGTGACTTGCCATTCTAAAAAGCCCAGTGGTTATATTCTGTTGTCTAGTGGGAAATGCTCTCAGTGAAACTTGGGGGCAGGGTGAAAATTCTTGCTATTTATATTTTCTATAATTTTCTTATATCATATTTTTTAGTCACACTGAGGGGATTCTACATAACTATCCTCAAGCTGGCTTGGTTACAGGAAGCTGAGGAAGTTTAATGAGCATTTCAGACGCTAGATCAGGAAATCCTTGGATATAATATCTTTAAGCAGTTGTTTGCTTTAGTGCATTGTTCTGTTCTTTTCTTGGTCTGATTCTGAGTGACAAAATGACATCTATTCTAGAACTGCAAAGATTGATTTATGATCCTACCTTAAAAGGAGGAGAATGCCCTCCATGTGATTCAGAACCCTCCTATGACTTTGACTCTGGTTCATCCAAAACAAAGACTGGCAGTAGACAA